CCAATTGAGTCTAATAACAGATTAAATGCTAAATCTGAGAAATCCAATCCATGGTCTGTTGAGTAAATAAAGCATTTGAACTTGACTGAGTCAGACCCAGCTGACTGTTGTTGCTCATAAAGTGTGAGAGTCATGGCCGATTTCAGCCGTGTGAACACACAGCGCACTATTTATAACGCAGCGTAGTGAAGTCTGGCCTGCAGACGGCAGAAAGGTCAGAAGTTTGGAGGATAAACGGGAACATCCACGCAGCTGAAATTTGATCTGACATCAGCGTGGCGCTGCTCACACTTGGTTAACATTTCTGTGTGCGCAGGATCGACCAGGAGTGGCAGTATCGCATCTACTGTAAGACCCTGAAGACCTCCGAGCTCAACCTGCTGCATCATTACCTGGAGAGGTCGACCTTGACAGACATTCAGCTGTGCACGGGTAAACACAGTGGACAGGCCTGCACGAGTCGTCCAGCGTCCTGGCAGGCGTACGGCACCAAAACTGACATAAAATCATCAGATACAGTCACCAGATGGAAAACTGTATGCAACTACAAAATCAGCCACCACTGGACTGTTTAATAACAGAGTTAAGTTTAGTTTCGCTAATTTTAGTCATCTTAGGAAGAGTTTAAGGGATGAAGGTTGGGCTGCATCGTTTTCTGAGAGGACCTTTTAAAATGTCATTATGTAAAAAGTTTTTGAGCTTCTTTCAAATGTTTTTGGTGCATGTTACACTGACTCAATGCGCCATCTGGTGGTACAAAATTGGTACTACACAAAACTATAGCCAGGCTGTATTTTAATGCCAGCTAATGTGTCCTATCAGATGTTTCTTCACGTTCAGTTTATTTAAATACATGAATTTACAGTAAACTCTGCTGTAGTTGCTGCTGACGTTGTTGTATACCTGTTAGAGTCAGACCAGCAGCAGTGTCAGGAAGTCCAGCAGGATGAGGTCAAACTGAGCTTCCAGCTGGAGGGAGAACGCTGGATGGTAAGTTGGTTAAAAGTTTGTGGTTTAAACGTGTTGTAGTTTGCTTTCTCTCAGGAAACCAGAGTGAATAAAAAAATCATTTGCAGGATTTTCCCCGTGAGCTGCAGTGGATGACCTACCTGAAAGAGTGGCATGTGAGGAGAACGAGGATCTGCCAACTGCCTGACTACCTGGCTCTGTTTACCCAGCTCACCGTTCTGGACATCCCCAAAAACGCCATCACTGAGCTGCCGCCCGAGATTGGTGAGTCATACACAAACCGAGTCTGAACGACCTGAGAAGATGGGAAACGATACCGAAATAATTCCTCCGTCTGTATTCTAAGGTAAACTGACAGTGCTGAGGGAGCTGTACGTCAGCTACAACCGACTGTCCCGAGTTCCTCCGGAGCTTGGGAACTGTGAGAAACTGGAGAGACTCGAGCTCGCGGGAAACCACAACCTGTCTGAGCTGCCGTTTGAGGTGAGAGGGTCAAGCTGTACATCCATCATCAGTCCCTGGCAGCAGCTCAGTGTCACAAAAACTTTAAGATGATGAACTATGTTGTTTGCCTGTTTAGGTGCTTTTAAGGCTCCACCATTTGGTAGAAGTTAAACAGTTAGTAAGATTTTGTACTTCAAGAAAAGTTATTTTCTTTTTCAGTAGTTGAAACTAAAGGAAGAGATGAGCAGCGTTGTGGCGTCTCTGCCGGTTTCCTTTCTCCAGATTAATCAAAGGAGAGAAAGATGAATGTCAGAGTTTGTAGGCGTTGGCCGGTTTCTGTTTGGGCAGCACCTGAGGGACAAACTCACTGTTGGTTCCTCGGGTGGGAAATTAGGGGAACTGCAGCGTTGATTATTGTTCTATTCTTGAGGCCCGGAGGTTGACACTCTGCAGAACTGAGCATGGGATTAAAGTGAACACCCGAAGTGCCATCAGGGGTCAAATTTACTATTGCCCCCCAAAAATGCTGAACTGTCCTTCAGGACCATCAGGATGGTGTTCAGAGGTCAAGTTCAGTTCAATTCAGCTTTATTTATACAGCGCCAAATCACAACAACAGTCACCTCAAGGTGCTTTATATTGTAAGGTAGACCTCAGGTCAAGTTAGCAGGAGGCTCATAGAACTCCATCCAATCAGTTCTTCTTAAACCAGAGACGTCGCCCCCTGCTGGACATTGTGCTGATGATGTCACTGTGCGTCGTCTCTCTGTAGCTGAGCAGCCTGAAGCAGCTGGTCCACCTGGACATCGCGGAGAACAGGTTTGTCTCGATCCCCATCTGCGCTTTGAGGATGACGAGCCTGCAGCTGCTGGACCTCAGCAACAACTGCATGACCGACCTGCCGCAGGACATGGACAGGTGACTGATGATGTCGTCACTATTTCCAGGTGGATCACCAGGCAGATCACCTGGGCTTCAGCTGTGACAGCAGCTCTTCTTGAGTGTTTCGGGGGAGGGTGTCAGCGTCCTGAGGTCTGAATGCTCATGTTTGTCTCTGCAGGCTGGAGCAGCTCGTCACCCTCTTCATCCACAAGAACAACTTCAATTACCTCCCTCACTGTCTCGCCAACATCACCACGCTGGCGACAATCGTTGTCAGCGGTGACGAACTCACCTGCATCCCAACTAAACTCTGCAACAACCCCAAAATCAAGTACACAGACCACACCTACACAGACTTCCACCCAGCACGCATCCAGGTGGCAAATGTCACACAGCAGCTTTAACCAGCTTATAGCTGCTGCAGCCTCTGCAGACCACTTTGCAACCCACCTCCACACCAGCTCCTCAGTTTGATTGATTGATTGAATCATTATTTTGAACATGTTGAAAAAGTACAACAAAATAGAATTAAAAGAGACAAATGAACAAAGCAAAACAAAAGGAAAACGAGCAACCACAACTCCAAATAACGTTCATGTTCAAAAGGGAGCAGGAAGAAGCATAAGCTTATTTATTCCCACCCCTTTTCCACTATCTAGTATCAATAGACTACAGAAATACCTCCTTGCAATTACATTATATGTCATGTGTATTTATTTTTTAATATATATACATATATGTTTCATTTTCAATAACCCAATTAACACCTCAAGGATACACAACCTACAAATATATAT